AACCCAACTATCCGTAGCTCACTAGTTTTCTGTAGCCAGATATTCAAGATAAATGTGTCCAATCATGCGAAAAATATGCAACAGCCTTATGGCCAAGTTTCTTATTACCCAAGTAAATGCGTGATTTTCCGACCACTAACCCCTTCCGCAATCCACTTCCCAACTAACAAGATTTGCCAATAGCCATGTAGGACATTTTAATTTGTTGTGTTTTACAATGCTCCCTTACAAATTCATTTCGATTTGGATGCTCGTGGCTTGAGTCCACTCAGTTTATGGCACTTTTATAACTGGCAAAAAGACACGGCCAGAGTGGCCCCCAGGCGGAAAAGTTACTCCGTCCAAATAACTTTCCGTATCAATACGGGAAAACAATGGGACCCAATTTTTTATACATATATAATTCACAATTTCGCAAGGCGAACGCTGGCGCAATCAAAAAGGAAGAAGTCCGTAAAAATAACAATAATCGGTAAACCGACCATCTGATACTCCTTGTCTGCCACGGCCACGAATCTTTTGTAGGACATAATTGTAGAGGGTAGGGACTCTTTCATACTGGTGTATCGGCAGGGCATTGTGCTTTTCAATCTGGACTGCGATGACAGGCCAAACTTTTGCCAACCGTTTTTTATTGTTGCCTCAAATTTGGAATTATTTTTATTGACGACTCTGGCACGCACAAGCTCCACACAGCCGAGTCCATAAAAATCCACTTTCAGTTATGCCTGCGAGTCGTGTTGGGTAACTGGCAATGGAAATGGCAAAGATGAACTTATTGTCATTGAGTAGCGAATGGGGCGCTAAATCAAAAACAACGACCAGAGGGCAATCCGGAATTGGATTGGATTTGAAAAAAGGACATGGTGAAGACTGGGAAATTGAAAATGGGCCATATTCGGCCATTGATTTGCATCAGCCGCTTAAAGTCATTTCCAATTCGATAATCATAATTTATGAAACTGTTCCTGTATGGCAATTTTCGCATATAAATTGCATTAAATATTTACGTTAGCCGTGGAAAATAGAGTGCGTGGAACTGGGAAATGTTAAAACAAACAAACTGCAAATATTTACGCACCAAATGAAAACCATTTAAATCCAGCTCAGAGGGTCACCGTACGGGTTTTAAAGCCGTAAGGATGCAGGACTCGGCGAACTCTTGGAGCCACCCTCGCATTTAGTTGATGCCACATCACGCTCTGCGGTTGCATCCCCACATTGTTAGCAGTATTTACTTTAAATTACACTCATTTAACAGCCTAAATTATAATGCATTGCAGGGTCTGGGATTATAGTGTTAAATTTGATCCCAAGCCACTTGATGTAAGTGCATTGGCAGGTGGCAGTATTTTAAATTGTTACTCAAATTTCATCCTCAACCTCACAACTTGGGAGTAAATTGCAGGGCAACTAACAAACTCGGATCTGGACCACCGGAAAAGCTTTAGACACTTTTCCCAGGACCGCACTTGCCGTAGAGATGCAGATGTGGATGAGGTGGTGGTCACCACCCACCCAGGTCAGTCAAATGGCCCGTGGCAGGTGGCTTTCCCGAGAGGTTAGCCCGCCGAACTGCAGTTCTCCTGGACGGAGGCCAGTAACACTTTTGCGGTTGCAAGTTTAATTTATTGCAACTTTTAAGATGGCCAAATGGAAAAGTTGAGCCAGAATGCGGGGAAGATCGAAAGGCAAATAGCCAGCAGGAAAATGTTTGGCCACAACCCTCGGAGTAGCCACTTGGCTTTCAGAGTGCGTAATTGGGGGGACGGGGGGATGGGGGGACGGGGGGATGGGGGGATGGAGCGATACCTGACCAGTACACACAGCACAATTAGCAACAACGAAAAGTTGAAAGTTCAATTTATGCAGCGTATAAGGCCAGAGCAGTTCACACTGACCTTTCAACATTGCGGGTGAAGAGTTTTCGCAATATGATTTAGCCAGAAGTCAGAGGCAAGGATAAACAGCAGAAATATGAGGTATGGATGAGCCATTTTAATTGCACCAGGGCAGAAGGAAATAAGAAATTGTGGATTCTCAACTGACCGAACGAAATGAATGTGCAACAAAGATACCAAAATATTAGAAAGATTTTCCGTTTGAGAAACCAGTCTTTCATTTGGCTTCCCACAATTTGCCCAATACATAAAGTTATAAATCCACTCACACTCACCCATGCCTGAATATTTCTGCATGGCTAAATCATATATGTTTTGCCACACAAACACGCACCAGAATCGAAGGGGAAGAGGAGGGGGAGGAGGAGGAGGTGGCCATGCCACGAGGGAAACGGAAACGGGAGCACACGGCTCATTGTGATTTGCTGACCCGAGTTGGCTTTCACCGCTTGGGAATGTGGACACAGGCCTTGGCCCGGCTAATTTCGGCTCCATTCGAGATGGTTGAATGTTGCTCACCGGCAGTGACACCCATTTCTCCTTTTTCCGATCCGATATGTCCGCTTGCATAATTGGAATTGAACTTGCCAGGTTGAATGACGCCTTTGCAGCTTAAACAGTTTTAAACCTATCAAACGGAATTGATAACAAATATAAGTAGTTAGATTAAGCACCCAAATAATATATATATACATATAACAAAAAAACCTTTTTCCCGACATTAAGCTGCACATTAAATAAATCCAAACCATTGTACAAAATATATGAAAATATTTATCACGACAAAACTACAATAAAAGAAAACAGGAAAAGTAAAAAACCCTGGTGGTTAATGCTTTCATTTTTTAAAACGTTAAAACGTCTCTGCCCCATCTGTCATGTTTTTGAAAAAGGTCGCAAACAGCACTGTCTGCCAGATAAAAAATGCATATTTAATAATTTCATTGTTCCACTCAGCAGGGTCCCCAGGAGCTTAGCTCCTTTTATGACTGACTCGACAAAATAATCCCGATAAAAAGAAAGGCGAAGACAGGTTTTCACCTGTGATTATCGGAGATATCTCACACAGATGTGTGTGGGACTTAGCCTGGCATTATGGAAAGCCTGTGTGGCGGAAGAACTCATACCCATATCCAGAATAAATTAGCCAAGTCAAAGTTCCCGATGCTTGTTTCCGTTCAATCAGCGATTCTATTTACGACTGCCATCGACACGGTTTTCCGCTTAGCTGTTTCCACCAAGAAAATTTGGGCGTGCCACACTTTGCGTCTCATTCGATTCATTGTTGGCCCACGTTGCGGTCCGTTTTTCTATTTTCAGCATTTCCATAAAATTTACATTTTTGTTACGGACTGCGGACTGCGGACTGTGGACACAAAATCATTGAGCCGTGCTACGTGGTCCAGTGTCCGTTTTCCCAGGGTAAAGGGTTCGTATGGGGGCGCCACGCGACAGAGCTAAATTTAATTTTGTTAATGAGCTCTGCCCGCTTCATCATCTCGCCAATGTGGCCACACCCGCATCCTTCACAGTCCCACTCAACCCGTTTCCGAGGTGCTCCCACTTCAAGTCCCAGAATCCACTTACCAAGTTATGTCTGTGTGTTTTGGCCTTTATTGCGTTGTTGCTGCTGGCCAGGCTCAGACTGGGGATTGGCATTGGGATTGGGAATGGGATTGGGATTGCGATTGTGATGGCGATTAGAACGACGATGGCCCATTGCAGGGAAAACTTCTGAAAAAAGTGTTCGTAGGTCGGGGACTTTGATTAAATGCGGACCATTGCCGCTATCATAGCGCCATCCCCAAAAAAAACAAGTTGGAGCCGACAAGGACATTAACATTTTAATTGTTCCTGGGACGCAATAGAGTCATGGACCGAGCGGAACAATTGCCAATGAGTGCTCGAATAAAACTTTATGGGGGGAACGAAGGGCGGCTAGGGAAAAGGCCATTAATATCGGAGCCGTAAAAGGCGAATCTTTACGGAGGTTGGACAGCGAATGGCAGGCGTAAATGGGCAATATTTTTGATTCCGACCCCAAATTGACTCCAGTAATTTCTTCCCACAAAGATAATTATGATTCCGTGCTACAAAATCAACAAGATTCCAGTATTATTAAAAGTTTTTAAGGCTTTTCGCCTTTTTTTGTTTTTTTTTTTGGATTACTTATTTATGTTTAATCTGCTGTTTAACAATAATTATATTTTATGATTAATTTTAAAGTAACAGAAAGAAAAGCTAGATAGCGTAGTTCCAAACAGGCTTCAGTAACATTGTTTTCCAAAGTAGTCGCTATTCGACTTTGAAACCAATCAATTTTTAGTGTTTTCGATATGAGTTGCTGACATTTCAATTTAATGTGTTTTTTCCATGTCAATCTGCGGTCGAGCTGCAAGGCTAGATTCTTCACATAGTTAATTCGCGGAATTACCTCAACTTAGTGGCAAATTATAGGGTGACCCAAGAAAGATTTGTTCTTTCACTTCTGTTAAGAGTTAAAGAAGTGGCTGAAATATAGAGTGCGGATGTTGTACAAATGCTTCAGCGCTTTCATCATCAGATCAACACCAAGTTCTATTCAATTTACGAATATTTATGTTTATTGTTTCTGATCTCTCAAGGTTTTTAATTGGGTGTAATTATAATATATTTAAATTCTTTAAATATTGATAACAACTTGTAATCATTATTATTTAAGATAAAGCTATGTAAAAAGGTGACCCAATCCTGTGTTTCGGGTTCCATTACCCGACTTTTTAAAACAGCTTACCTTTTGTTGGTTATTATTACCATATATACCATACCATATTTTGTTGGTTATATATTACCATTTTAAATTCACATTTTTTTAAATTTTATGTGAGTTTTTCGTTGGCTTCTGTGATGAAAGGATTTAATAAGGAGGTTTTAAAACCTTTGAAGAGTTGGTTAAGTTACAAAAGACATAACATTTCATTATGTAACTGTTTTTAGCTAAGTTATGATGTGTTGAAGATGTAATTCGGTGACTATTAAGCTCTCACCCTGACTGGCTTAAATTTCTTAATTTAAATTAAATTCTAATTTTGGTCAACTATCTGATTTCGTTTTTTGCAGCTGCCTCAGTGGCGGTTTCTTCTTGGACACTGGTGGCCATCTCCTGCGAGCGCTACTACGCCATCTGCCATCCTTTGAGATCGCGCACCTGGCAGACGATCAACCACGCCAACAAGATCATCGCCATCATTTGGCTGGGGAGTCTGGTGTGCATGACGCCCATCGCCGCCTTCAGCCAGCTGATGCCGACCAGCCGTCCAGGTGGGTGCTTTGTCCTAGGAGCACAGTCCTCCAGATTAACCTCCCACCCCATCCTCTTTTAAAGGACTGCGCAAGTGCCGCGAGCAGTGGCCGGCGCACAGCCTCAACTACGAGCGGGCCTACAACCTGTTCCTGCTCCTGGCCCTGCTGGTCCTGCCCCTGCTGGCCCTGAGTTTCACCTACCTGTTCATCACCCGCACTCTGTACGTGAGCATGCGCAACGAGCGGGCCATGAACTTCGGCAGCAGTGGCCCGGAGGTGGCCTCCGCCTCCGGAGGACCTGGTAGCCAGCGGCCCCCCAACGGTGGCCACTGCCACCAGTCTCTCGACACGATTGTGCCGCACCAGCAGCACCATTCCCAGTACTACTACGGTAAGGGGTTTGCTTGTTTAAATTTGACAGTTTTTTTCTGTTCCAGCCACAGGGGTCAAAGGGTTGTGTGTGGGCACAGGATGGTGCAGGGTGGTGCCTCCCGGGGGAGGCGTCATTCGAGATTAGTTCAAGCCCACGAACTACGTCACACACAATTTGCACGGCCAAGTTTGCCACGCACGAAAGGCATTCCGCTTAAATCCCGGACGTGGAATGGATGGGTGGATGGAGGATTCCTGGTTGGAGCTTTGCGGTTGGAGCAGGGGAAATGGAGAATGGAGGTTGGAGTTTGGAGGTAGGAGATTGGAGGTAGGAGATTGGAGGAGTTGCAGGTTGGAGCCTCGAGAAGTGCCAACCAAGTCCTCGAAAGAGAGGGTGGACCGGGAAACAATGCCCCCACGATAGCTGCGGGCGTTGAAAGTGATTTCATTTGCATTCGCATCGACGGCTTTAAGAGCACTCCCCGTGGCTAGATGGCTCTGCCTTCCAGATGCTGTGGTGCTGTGAATAATCCCCAGATTAAGGGCGAAAGAATTTCAGTCAGCCCAAGGCAAAGCTGGCCCAAATCAATTCTTCTAATTCGCTCTTAATGCCGACTTAAAGTACGCCCTCAATGTATTCCAAAGCTGCAGTGAATGTCTGCCGAGTGGCAAAGACATGAAAGACTGTAAATATAGAACAGTCCCGGTGGAGAGCCTCCTTGAACTCAGTGGCAGCAAGCTGATAACGTGACATGTATGATAAACGCAAACCACTCGCACAGCGAAGTCATCCGTAGAGTCCCCGTGGAAATCACACTGAGCCTCTGCCGGCAGACTTTTTCATCTTCAGAAATGTTACTCTTGTCCTTGGTCCAATTAAACATGGGAGGAGGTCCTCCTCGAATATGATGTAGTCCCGGGGCGCCTCATTTGCATGAAAGGGTTCCGTGTTAAGCCCTTTAAAGGCGGAGTCCTTTAAGTAAATGGAAAGTGAGCATTAGCATAGACTTCCACTTAAAACGTGAAATCAAAGCTCTCTCGGTGGAGGGGGGGGTTGGAGGTCATCGGGTGATTCATTTCCGGGTGTTGGTGCTCTCTTCTAGGTGGCTGACCTCAGGACACTCCACTGCCACTATCTGGAGGGGACATGGCACCCGGCCTGCTGCCAAAAAGGTCAATATAAGTGCCGTAAATTATGCACGAAGCAAGCGTTTAAGCGCTCGTTAAAGGACGTTACCCCACTCCCTGGATTTCCCGCGGAGGCTGGAGCTTCGTGCCACTTATTTTCACACATATAGTACTACTCGTACTTTCAGCCGGGCATGCTGCTGTGTGACAATAAATTTGATTAAATTTTCAAACTTTTTCGTTTCGCTTCGTTCACGGCCATCGTTTGACATTACCCTGTCATAAATTGCCAGCCCGAAGCGCATACACTGTTTGTGTGTAGGCCGTGCTCGCAAATGTCCTATCATTGACTAGACACTTTCATGGGAATTGCCATATTATTAGAAGCTTTAAATGTTACCCAAGAACTCGTGTATGCTATCATCCGCATACTGCGCTTTTAATGGCATTTTAAATTATATTCAACTCAACTACTTTCCAAACCGCTGATAGCAATTAAAATGATAAAGGACTGGTTTGCAGACCGCATCAGTGAGATTAATATCCTCAATGGTTCTGTTTGGATTACTTTTCACATCAAATTATGTAGCAGCATGAAAATATTGCCTAAAAATATTTAGTTATTAGATGAACTTTAAAACTTTATGTCATGGCAATTATTTCAAGTTTAGACAGTCACAGTTGGAAAATGTTACCATCTTCATTGGTTAGTTTTTCTTTTTTCTAGAAAGTATACGGTTTGAACTTCAGTATTTTTCCTAATAGTCATAACATAATGATGCTCCTCAGTTGGGTGACCTCCTCTCCAAACGCAGCCAAATGCCCTGTTTGGTAGTCGTTAGGAATGTCAGCGGAGACACCTCCACTCTTGCCCGATCCTGGTTGTGGTCCGCCAGAAGGACGCAGTGGTCCTGCAGGAGTGTGACCAGCGCAGCCTTCGTCTGGAGCAACCCGAGCCGCATTCCCGGACACATCCGAGGTCCGGCGCCAAAGCCCAGGAATCGGCAGCCCATCGGTGACTGGTTTAAGAAGCGCTCTGGACGAAACTTGTTGCATTCCGGATACAATTCGGGATCTCTGAAAGGAGAACAATTAGAAGTGCTCCCAAATGAGTTGCAGAAGGGCACCCACAGGTGGATGGCCTGGACAGGTACCACCAGGACGGTGCCCAAATCCACCCTGACTTCGCCGCTGCCATCAGATTTCTGCGCCGGAAGGGTGAAGGATTTGGTGCAGCGCTTCTGCAAGGCCTGCATGGCCGGATGAAGACGCAGTGCCTCGAGGAGCGCTGCTTCGGTATAGCGAAGTTCGCCCAGGGGCGCTTGGGCCAGCAGATTACTGCCATGTCGTTGGGCCACCTCATCCAATTCCATTTGGACCCTTTGCTGTCTATCCCGGTTGAGGGCCAACTCGTAAAGGGTGAATGCCAGGAGCATCGCCGAGGTTTCATAGCCCTCCAACAGAAGTGTGGTGGCGTATCCAGTTAGCTCGTCCTGCCCCAACGTCCGCTTGCCATCCACCAGCCACTGGAGGAGGTTGTCCCCGCCGCTCCTGGCTGCCACCAATTCCCTGAACCAATGCTGCAGGTTTAGGGGCACGTATCTGCAAGGGGGCATGTGGGTTAGAGATACAGATTGAGGGGCTCAGTTGACCCACCGATGGCCGATGAGTCGGCCCAGTCGAGGTGAGTGCAACAGGGCAATCGTCTCCAGCAAACTCCAGGCATTCGGTTGGAAAAGCGGGGCCAACCACTCCAGCCAGCGGCTCGGAATCCCGGTTGCTTCCCGGCGGCCCAGGCAATGGGCATCCAGGCCGAAGACCACAGAGGCAACCACCTGCAGGGTGTACCGGGTGGCCAGCTCCTTGGCATCGAAGCGTTCGCGGGGCACTTGCTCCCGGAGCAACCGACAGGCGGCTGCCACATGGGGCAAGGTCTGGCGCACACGACTGGGCGTGACGAGGGCCACCAGGTCGGCTCGAAAGATCCGCCACCGTTCACCGCAGGCGATGAAGGGATTGTGACTGGCCAGGACATCTCGGTGGGGGTCCACATGGACGACATTGTCCGCGCAGTCGGCAAAGTGGCTGCCCACCAGGATCTGGCGCAGCAGCTCCTGATCCCGCACCAGAATGGCGGGTTCGTTGAACAGGCGATAGAATCCCACGTATTTTAGGCCGTGGCTCTCCCTGTAAATCCGTTCGTAGACTTCCCCGTACGATTGCCTGGCCAGAGCAAAGTTCACCATATTTCCAACCAGTGGCCAGCCGCAGGGTCCTTCCAATCCCAGGCGTAGCCAGTGTCGTCCATGCCATACCGAACGCAGACAAATGACCACCAAGAGGACGCACAAGAACAGTATCAGCAACATCGACGTTTGGACAGCGGGAACAGATATACACAATTGAGTTGGTGAGATTGTTTGGAACACCTTTGCCACGAGACAGCTGAGAGTTGCGTGATTCCATGATATCGACTCATTAGCCGCGTGACGACTATACTTAAAGCGAACGTTTCCAACACGCAAGATACGAGCTAACTAATTTGTTGTATTCGTTTTCCTTTCTGTAGCGGATTACAGCCACTGCGGCAGCAAACGCAGGCTGCTCGGCGGAGGTGGTCCATGTGAAGGACGACGGCATCTCTACTGCATGCGCAGTGCCTCAGTGAAGTCCCTGCGCCAGCATCAGATCAACGGAGTGGGAGTTGGAGGAGGTGCACCCGGAACGGGAGCCACTGACTGCTGCAGTCGGGTGCAGAGGATGCGCCACCAGTTGCAGCAGCAGCAGCAGCAGCAGCAGGGATACATCAGCGACAACGAGTCCCGGCGAAAGTCCTTGTCCCAGCCCAGCCTGCGCATCACGGAGGCGGGCCTGCGAAGGTAAGTGCCCTCCAGAGGAGGCCCCACCAGAAGACCCATGTCCATTTGCCAATTGTGCCGCGCAGGTCCAACGAGAGCAAGAGCCTGGAGAGCAAGAAGCGGGTGGTCAAGATGCTGTTCGTCCTGGTCCTGGAGTTCTTCATCTGCTGGACGCCACTGTACGCGATCAACACGATGACCATGCTGTTGGGGCCGGCAGTGTACGAGTACGTCGGCTACACGTCCATCAGTTTCCTGCAGCTGCTGGCCTACTCCTCCAGCTGCTGCAATCCGATCACCTACTGCTTCATGAACGCCAGCTTCCGGCGCGCCTTCGTGGACACCTTCAAGGGGATGCGGGTGTGCGAGCGCCTCTGCGCCCCCTGCTGCTTCTGGAGGCGCCGCTCCAAGAACGAGACCAACCTCTCCGTGGCCGGCAACTCGATCGCGCTGGCCAACTCGGTCATGTCCAGCCACACGATCCTGGAGAGCCCGCGCCTCTGAGCCAGCCGCCGGCGACAGCAACTGGCGGAGACGGAGTCACTCTAGTCACTCCGGTCACTCAAGTTGCTCTGCGGATCGGTTCGTGTGCGTGGTGGTGCCCCGTTTCCACCGGCAGCAATTTGTGATGATGCAATGTAACTGCAAATGAAACTGTGGTTGTCAACGATTCCGCCGCGTTCTGAATGTGTGTGGATGTGGCGGAGGAGGAGGAGGAGGTTCCGGGTCGGGAGCTCCCTTTTAAACGCCCTTACTCTTACCCCTTACCAATAAGTGTTTTAATATATGTGTGTATGCTTAGAGTTGCGCTAATGCCAGTTATTCAGTGTGAGTTATTAGACTTTGACCTCGCGTTTCTGTGTTTACACCTAAAGGCCGATGCAAATTGAGATCACCACACGCTATAGAGATTGGGGTGGACCTTAGTTGGAAGAATACCTAGGGGTGTCCATTCATTACGGCAATATCGCCCCAAATAATACAAAAATCTACAAAGTCCATAGGAGTAATCAACTTGCTGACCTCCCCCTTTGATTATTACCTAATGTATGGACGCCCAAAAACAGAATAGATTAATTGGAAACTGTGGTCTTAAGAGTATGCAAAATGGTTTCAAGGATTTTTAAAAAAACCGTAGCCTCGTTTTTGGTTTATATCTTGACCCTTTACAAAAAATATACACATTTCTATTACAAACTTTGATTTCTTATCAATTTTCATAATTTTATTTTCTGTATGTTAAAAATCATGAAGTTTTAGTAGTGATTTGCTGAAAATTCATTTTTACTTGTCCCACGTGTCGTATGAGTAATATTTACTGAAATTTGTAAACCATTTTTGCTTGTTTCACGTGTCGTATGAGTAATATTTAAATTTTTTAAATTTTTAGACCATTGTGCTACCCTTAAAGCCCTCAAAATCAGATCTGGTTTTCCGAATTTCCCCGTATAGAAGTCAACCTCTAAAGTAGAAATTCCGCTGATCACGGCACAGTGGAAGGTTTCAACGAATCAAGAAGCATTTGACAGCAGGCTGATTTTACAGGGTAGACAGGGATTCCGGTCGAATTCCTCTCATTCAAAAAAGGTTGTCAGACGGAGCTTATGGAGTGCCAGTCACTCCAAGGTCCAAATTACGTAAATAAGAAACCCGAAACCCGATCGAAATCAATATGGATCGGGGCCAAATCCAATTTTAAGTAGATGAATGTAGCTGAAAATACATCATATGTAAATTTTGAATTGTGGAGTAGCAAACAAATAATAATAAACATGCAAACGTTTCATTTTAGCTCCCACATACACACTTCAACGAACTTGGCAATTGCAATTATTATGATATTTATATATGAATAAATCTCAATGTTTTTTATGTAAATAAGATGAAATCAAATCAAATCAAATAAAGCGACATCTAAATTCGGGTTCAGCACCAGAGCGTTGTATACTTTTGGGCATTCCTTTCGTCTACACTGTTCCCCAAACTTGGTCATCGTAAACACAAGGTCCGTAGTTCGTAGTTCGTAGTCAATGTCGGAGGCTAATTGATTGCCTGCCAGTTTGACCTCACCACGCCACTCGGTGCTAGGATGGGATTTTGGAGATGCAAATCCCCCTCACTGTTGACCTTTTCCAGCTAATGAGTTGGGCATTAATTCCGCTGCTGCATGCGATGGTCCGTTTAAGTAGTCGCTGCCAAAGCATCCTGTTCACCGGTCAGCCAGTGGTTGAGCTGTCAGCCGCAGAGCGGTGAGTCCAGCACAAAGAAGTGTCCAGAGTGAGCAGCCCTCAAGGCATCAAGGCCTCAAAAAGGCTCCACAAATAGCCATAAGGATGAGCGGTGTTAGAATGGGTGCAAAATGGAGTCGGCGGGGTAAAATCAATTGCCGCTTTGAGGACAGAAAATTAATTGGCTTGTGGCGGGGGCTTTGATGTATGATATACGATTCCGGAGTGGGAAGCATTGAAGCAATTTCCACCTCTTTTTAAAGTGCAGGAATGCCGAGTGTCCCTGCCGGGCAATCACTCATGATTGTCGCATTTCAAATTGCCTATGCCGTTGCAATGGGCCAACTGCATATGTAATTTGGCGATGAGAAGGGTCTTACACATATACCATTTCGCACAGCACATGGCCTATTCCCACGGAAACCGACTGGCCAGTCAAGTGCCCTTTGTTGCCCTCTTGAGCTACGTGACAATTACAGCAGCTATTACACGTAATAAACGCTTCGGCCTGGAAATGCCCAAGGAGCAGGACCTGGTCTGGTATTCGCAATTCGAGCCATGTCCCAGTCCAATGCGAACCCTAACCAGATTATGGCCAACTGGCATCTGAACTGGCTATGCCCTTCGGGTCACGTATGCCTTTCCGGCGGTGACTGAATGATCGGTCCAATAACTTATACGCAGGCGGAAATTCCCACGCAATTCCTTATAAACAAGTCCTCCCTGAATTGAAGGGGGGAGGTACATTTATAAAGTATTTATTGTTTGGCAAGTCCTCTTTGTGAAGATTGGGGGGAGGGGGCCACTGATGGGGCTGTAAATCGCAGATGACTACGCTCCATTCTCCTCTGCCACTCATGGAAATACCAACTGTGGACATTTTATTGATGTACTCAACTTGGGCAGCAGTTAGAGAAATAAATGTCTCTAGCGGAGACCAATTTTTCGTTGGTGCTACGTTTCTCAAGTCCCTGTAACAGATTGCCCAACATTATTCGATTTATTAAACTAATAAAATTATTGACAGTACAAAGTTCCAATGCCCTAACATTGTTCACAAAAATAAGGTGCACATAATTCAAACCAAAAAATTTGGATAAAGATCTATAGGCAGTTGCAGTTTCAAATGCGGTTTCAAATGCGGTTTCTTTCTGCAGTAATAAACACATCGTTTAAATGAGCAATCCTTTTTACAGAAACTTTAATGCGGATTGGTAGAGAAATAAGCCACAAACTTAATCTGATGTATCACTTTAACAACATTACATACATTTTTCTATTATGCTGTGCAACAATTAGTCAAAGTCTGTAATTAGAATCATAATTAGAAACCATTAGGAGAATATATTTGTTGTATGCCATCAACGTTTCCAAATATTTGAATTGAGAAATTTCAATTACATGTTGACTGAAAGGATACTTTTTGCCTCACATTTGTCACCGCACATGGCACACAATAAATTTCGGAAAACCTTTTAAACTCTCTCTCAACTCATATTTCTCATAATTAAGGCATATTACGTTGTCCTTTTGTTTTGGTAAAAAGCCGTGCCACCCCTCCACTTCTTGTTGTTCTGTCCCTGCCCCGCCTTCCACATCCCCATCCCATTGGTCAGCCCAACTCCAGGGACAGTAGCGATATGGCACCGCAGTGACACACGTGCCTGCCCAAAAATACAATACCGAAATGCCAAAGAGCTCGGCGTGGATGTGATTGTGATTATGCAACCACATCACAAGCCTGACAATTTGTAGCGCGTCGGGGCATGGAGGTAGATTCAATTTCGAAATGTTCGGAAATCCATGCCGTACCAGGTCATTGCATGCGATGATTACCATTGTGTGGGGAGGGGGGTTTGAGCTACTGGTAGGACAACAGATGCCCCGCCTCTTAAATGGGTCCAGGACTTATAGGATAGGGTACTTGGCCTTCGACCCATCCATAGGTGCTCCATGCAGACAGGCACTAATCGCCAAAGACGACCACAATCGAACTGAAGCTAATTGAGCCGCTGAGCCGGGCTCTTGGAGCTTAGGTGTATGGTCTACGGTGTTTGGTATATGGTCTTTGGTGTATAGTGTTTGGTATATGGTGCCTGGTGTCTGGTCTTTAGTGTCTGGCATTTGGGGGGGGGCCGCTATCGCACTACATAGGGCTGCTCGAAGCCAGACCGACCTTGACCAGATTTCGATTGTTGCCTTTTTGGATTACATTTTCAGTTTCAGTTTAACGGTGAAGGCGAGTGCAGAGGCAAAACAGCAAAGACCACATAAGGCGGATTTGCGCAATGCACAACACACACGCCCTTTTTGCCCGAAATTATACAATTGTCGGCGGGCGGGCCGTTTACTTAACGGATCCCAGTTGAAACGGGTTTCGAATTGTATATTAATTATGCTGTTTATCTGGCTAAATTTCGAAACGCTGCCCAAGTATCGCCTCGGTTTATTTATTTATTTTTTTTTTTTGGGAGAAGTTTTGCGACAGCGTACATCTGACCTTCGGACGAGCGAAATTGTCGACGGCCCGACATGTATATTTGCCTTTTTTTTATCATATATACGCAGGTACTACCCATTATTGGTCGTCTTTGATCCATGAATTCCAAGTGCTTGTCACTTGAAAAATTCGGTGAAAGTTTTAAGCCTACATGAAGTCGGCCTACAAGTATTCGGCCAGATGCCCAGCTACCTGCCAGGTGTGGCATTGCATAAAGGTCCGAGAGAGTGGTGGCGATCGGAGGGGGAAACCGATTGCTGGCCAAGAATCCCAACCACAGCGCCCCCTGGTGGTCGGTCGGCGCAACCAATGACGAAGTGCAGCCAAGATCAGAACCTGTAGAACACCGATCTGTGCTGTATAACAAGTGCCAAGTCCAAATCGATTCGGCTAGCGATGCTGATCAAGATAACGCGTACTTTATAGGCTTTAGGGCTCTTCATACCCTTGCAGAGGGTATTATAAGTTCAATCTAAAGTTTGCAACGCAGTGAAAAGACATTCCGACCCTATAAAGTATATATATTCTTGATCAGCATCACCAGGAGAGTCCCTCAGTTTTAAAGCTATCTGCTTGAAACTTTCCCAAAAGTCTTTCTATTGCAGGTGGTATATAAGACGTAACGAGCCGGATCGGGCAACTATATAATATAGCTCCCATAGGACCAATCGGAAACAAAAAATTTTAAAAAGTATAATTGTTTTTAATTTTTTTTTTAGTTTGGGATTTGGTAATATTTTTATACTATGGAATTACGGTTTTAATTAAATTAAAATCGGACAACAATATCATATAGCTGCCATATAAACGAAAGCAAAATTCAGCGCAAAATCTTCATAACTTGATTGTTTTTAGTAAAATGGGCATAGAAATCGAAATGTAGTCGATTTGTAATAATTGTAAGGGTATAAACTGCCAAAGGTTGCTTCCTTTCTTGTTATTAATTGGAATTACCAAACTTATTGCTCATTTATATTTATTTTTACCAACAAACATTGTTATCGGGCTAATTTAATATCTAATTAAAACCAACACTGTTATAATATATATTTAGAGAGTTATATTTTTAGCCTTTTAAAACCTAAGACTGCCTTAAGATACTTATTACATTACTTTACAAAAATGATGTTAGCAAAGCGTTAGAATAGTTAAAAACCAATTTATTTTATGGTTGAGACTCTTCTTTTCATTATTTGATTAGGTAAAACAATATTAAGTTCGTATTGTTTTAATAGGAAAGCATTTTCTTGTGTGCTGCTGAATTGCTTTTAAGCCCAAGCAATAAGAAAACATTCAAGAACTTCAGGGCATTGAGCCCAAGCACCAGATTTTTGATAAAGAAAAACAATGGCTTTCTATTCGACAGAAAATAGAAGACCTTCAAATAAATCTTCAAAATCAATAAAATTATTTCAAATTGCATTGTTTATTCTATAA